GCTGCTGGGACACCCACGTCTGCCTTTTGTGCGTTATTTTTTTTTAATTTCATTTTCTAGTAACTCATTTTTATTGTATTTTATTTAAAAACTGGTCCAAGGTAGATTGAAAGTGAAGGAGGAAGACCTGGTCCCTCGTTACAGAATCGGAGAAACACGGCATGTGGACGGTCAGCTCACACCAGGAAGGGCCCGCAGACTGGGGGCGCGGCGTCTGGCCTGGGGCCAGTGAGAGGGCCGGCTGGGAGGAGCACACAGACCGGGCCCGGGGCTGCAGAGCGTGCTGCCAGAGACGGGACCTGGTGGGGCCCTTGCCGGGCCCGGCTGCAGTGGCCAATCCGGCCCTGGAATTAGGGGTGCAGGTCCTGGGGAGACCAGTCATTGGTTCTGGCCCTCCCTCGAACGCTCGAACCCCTCGGAGCCCCTGCATCCTTTTCTTCTCTCAAACAGAGCAAATACCCAGCCTCCATCCAATGCCAGAGGTTGTGGGTCCCTGGGGCAACGCTGGGTGGCAGTGCCGTCGTGCCCCGCTAGCTGCTGGCACAGCTGCTGGCCCCCTTCCCACCAGGACCTCGCCGCGCAGGCATGCCCAGGGCGTCTGACTGAGACCCCCTGCCAGCCAGGATCTGCAGGACGTAGGGACTGATAAACCTGAGTCCACGTCACGGCCCTGCCGCCGGCCAGCTGCAAGTCAGCAGCTTCGCAGCAGCCGTGCCTGGAGCAGCCGCCCAGCAGAAGGCCACCAACGCCACGCCCAGGGCTCTCCCCCACCTGGAGAGCCGGTCGTGCACCTGCCAGCACACCAGTAAACTCAGCAAGTGAGAGCTGCTCTCGGCTTTCGTTTCCCGCCTGCGACGTGGGGACGATAGCGATGCAGACGGTGGTGACCGCGGTGACTCTGGGCGGAGCACAGGCTGAGCGGGTGTGAACAGACCCGCAATGACGAGGATGTGAACAGTTTACCAGTTTATTTGTCTCTCACTTGGAAGGGTGAGACGGTGCCCGGGAAATTGCCACCTCTCCCTGGGGCCCATGCCGCTCCCTGGCCCCACAGCGTCATTTCACCTGAGCCTCGGCTCTGGCTCTCTGGGTCCCGGCAGAGGCAGCGGAGACTGCCTCCCTGGGGCCGCGGCTGGGCTGTGGCCTCCCGGCGCCCTCTGCCTGGAATCCAGCAGCGTTCGCGTCTTCGAAGCCTTTTCTGTTTCTTCCAAAGCATCCTTCTCCCTCAGGCACCAAGTGGGTCAGGTCTAAATGACGGGTAGAGGAGGGGGCGTGCAGGGCTCGGAGGAAGCAGTGGTTAATGTGTTAGAATATTATCCTTCCTCATCAGGAACTAGGAGGTGGGGTCACAGAGGGTCAGACCGTAAAGGCCCAGAGATGAGGAAGGTGGCGATGCCGTTGTGATGACACCGAAGGTGGTGGCAAGAGCCAAGCAGGGCTCTAAGAGCTATAAACAGAGGCACCAAAGTGTTTCCTAACTCACTTAGTCTTACAATGGCCCTAAGAGACAGGCACATTATTGTACCCATTTGTCAGATGAAAAAATCAAGGCTGGACATGATGGGGATATGGCCAGACTCAAATAGCTCACAGAGGAGACGCCCCCACCCTGGACAGGTGGCGGCCCAGCTGGGCAGGCACCTGGGGTCCCACCTGTTGCCCCTTCTGAGCACGGTTCACCCCAAGCACTCCATTCAAGGCACTTATTTAAATGTGTGGCTAATTTCCCAAATCATCATGTTTAAAAAAGCACCTATCTTCAGAAAGCACATAACATGCTCTGTAGGAAATTACAGTTCAAATCAAAGGCAATTTTCACCTGGTGACATTTGCAGTTGTTCCTCTTCTTTCTACACAAAACTCAGCACCCTGGGGACCCCCAGCGACCTCCCCAGAGAGCCGTCAGCCCTCGCCATTCACGGGATGGCTGCTGACCCTGCAGGTCCGCCGCTTTCACTGGCAAATCTGGTGGTGAGGGCCGTGTGTGTGCAAGGAGTCCGCTCTTTCCAGAATGGCAGCGCGGGCCACAGAAGGCAGGGGGCCCGCCGGAGGCGAGAGCGCGTAGCCTGGCTTTCGTATTGCTCCAGCGCCCCTCCCCTACGGAGCCCCTGCAGGTCCTGAGGGACACCAGTGGCTCCCAGCCCTGGCCACACACCCCACCATGGGCAATGGAAGACTCCCCCAGGGGCCTTCAAGTTGAAAACCCCGGGCTGGACCAGAGACTAGCCCACTATCTCCCATAAGCCGATCCAGCCACCACCGGCTGTAAGGGGGCCACGCCCGCTTATTTGCATATTGTTTGCGGCTGCTGGGAACTAAGAGGGTGGTTGAGTAGCTGTGACGGAGACCATGGAGTCCACAAAGCCTCCCCCACTTGCCATCTACACCTTTACAGAAAAGTTTGCTGGATCAGTTAGTCCACCCTTATTCAACCTCCTGAATGACCTCCAGCCTTAACCTGAGCAGCAGGCATGAGCTTCTCAAGGGCAGAGACCTCTCTGAGTCAGGGTCCCTGCAGCCCCCACGGGCAGCACGAGGCCTGGCCCAGAGCGGACCCCCACTCACTGGTGGGTGCCCCTTGCTGTGTTAACTATTGAACCAAGTAAGGTTTGGGCGACCAGGAGGAGGAGCAGCTGTGCCAGGCAGGGCTGGCTCTTGCGTTAAACGTCAACTCCTTGGCTCACTGGCCTCTACCCCCAGACTGAGGCTCTCGGCAGAGGCCCGGGATGCTCGGGCTTGAGGCCTGGAGGAGGGTGATCTCAAGATAAGAAGCTGGGAGAGCCCGGAGCCTGGGACAGCCAGGGAATGGGTTCTAGGGTGTGGCTGTGGAGTACAGGTGGACGTGGTATCGACAGACTCTGCGGCACTGGACACAAGGTGACCCGGCAGGTGGCGCTCAGGGCTGAGGATGGGCTCTGTCCCCTGGCCCAGCTGTTTGAGTCCAGCTGTGGCTCGGGGACTGCGACACCCCAGCCTTGGGAGCCCCTGTGGACGGGGGCTCAACACCTTGCTAGACATGCACACGGCATCGCTTAAACAGTGAAAAAACTGGCAAAAACACCTAAACATCTATCAACAGGGTATTGAATATTGGTTATTTTCTTCACAAACCACTAGCAGGAAAAAAGGTGGGTGAGATTTATGGGTACTGGTATGGAAAAATGTGGAAATTTATGGGTAACTTAAAAAAACCAGGTTACAAGAACAGTGTATTTGATTTGAGGCTATTTGCACAAGTATTAATTCTGAAAACATGGACACAGAACTACTCACAGCGGTCATTCTACTCCACAGAGGTATAATTATGGGGGGGGCTTTTTCTCTCTTTATGGGGTTGGATTTTTTCTAAACAAACCTGTGCTATCAGGAAAATAGCAAAGATGTTCCCGCAGAGGGACACAGAAGGGGACATCCCCCCTCACACGGAACCTTCCCACAGCGTCACACTTACGCCATCGTCCTGCGGGCGGGGGCCACCCGGGCCTCAGAGGCGTCTGTAGCCAAGACTGGTGTCCAGGGTTTGCTCCCTGGGAAGCACAGGCCTGGTCCCCTGGTGAGGACAGTATGGGCAATCCTCGGGTGGCCTTTGGTCAACACCTGTCATTTCCTAACTCAAATGCAAGCTTGTCTTTCCACTAGATGAAAAGCTCTCTGAGAACAGAGACTGAAGAGGACATTTCTGTCCACACAGAGCAGGACCTCAGGAGACTCCTACTGAGTGAATGAATGAGCAATCCGAGGCAGCCAGCACTCACGAATATCTCTCCCTCCCACTAAGGCCATTTCTGCCATTGCTCGCTCACCTCCCCATGTCTCCCCAGCCTCTAGGGACAGGTGGTGCTGGGAAGACCCAGAGAGCGGGGTGAGCCTTTGCTTGGAGAGGACGGAGGCTCCCTTGCACTCGAGCAGAGAGGGTGGCGGCGGAGCAGGCGGGGGAAGGGGAAGACCACGCTGAGGGCCCTGGGGAGTCTTGGGGAAGCACTGAAGGTGAGACGTGAGGAGGGAGGTCTCGGGCAGCTGCAAGGTGAGTGGGAGGCAGAGAGGAAGGCGGAAGATGCCAGGGCGTGGCCACAGAGGCGGAGCTGGGAGTGCTCTCTGCTCTCAGGAGATACAACGTCCCCGTGGTTCCTACCGCAGGGGACACACCGTGTTCCTCTAAGGGCGGTGCACGTCAGCCTGGGCCACAGAGGGTGAGTGCACGGTGGCCACTCGGCCCTGCCCACTCGGGCCTGTCATCAGCAAGCTGGGCTTGAGGGTCCTGGTCTGGGGCCACGTCTGAGAGTCTGCAGCGCCTCCCCCGGCCCTGTCAGCCTGTGCTTGAGGCTTGTCGACCGCGGCCACACCAGAAGAGGCAGCCCCTCTGGAACTGCGGCGATCTTGAGATGGTGCCAGAGGAGAAGGAAGCGATATGGGGGAAACTCTCACAGTTGTTGTCAGGAGATAGCACTTTGCCAGAAGGGGGAAGCCCAGGGCTCCATTTGTACGTAGAACTGGCTTTAGGAAGTATTTGAATTAGTTAAGCCAACTGCTACAGCTAATGAAAGTTCGTTGCTCCAAATCAGAAAACAGGGAAGTTGCAAAAAAGGTTCCACATCTAACCCCTATATTCTCATCACCCCGAGTTAGCCACTGTGTGGCTCCTGGCATATACTCAGCCAAACAGTCTTTTGTGCATCCGGAGCATCCTTGTTTAAACAAATCACACTGTACACACTCTTTTGTAACTTGCCATTAGCACATAATGGAACATCTTTTTGTCACAGCGGGTGGGTTTGCATCCAGGGTCTGCCTCCTGTGTATTAGCTACATAGCACCTTATTGGTCACATCACCTTCCAATGTCTCCATTTCTTCATCCACAAAGCGGAAATAATGGCCTCCAGCTCACAGGGCAGCGGTGAGGGCCTCGTGGGCAGAGGGCCAAAGCTGCTTTGCGAACCGTGCCCTGCCAGCTCAGCCTGCACTCTCTCTTACACAGCCTTTGGGTTCTTTTCTTTCCAGGATCGAGAAGGGGGATGGGAACGAGGAAGAGGACCTTCGCTTAGACTGCCGCCACGAGAGACACGCAGCCCGTAAGTGGCCTGCGCACAGACTGCGGGCGTCTGCAGGGGAACGGCCCGGGGAGAAGCAGGCGCACCTCCCCGGAAGCCCTGCTTTCTCCCACAAACACGCTCCATGGATGGGGAAACTGAGGCTGGGGTTGTAGCGTAGCGAGCCCTCTGCGAGCGGCGGCCTGCAGAGGGGGTGTGTTCCTAAACAAGCAGGAGGGAGGCGGGAGTGCGTAAAGGTGGGCGGTGACCCGAGGCTCAAGTCCGGGCCTGGGCCAGCCGTGGGCCTAGAGGGGCAACCGCAGCTGTGCCGCACTCACACGCCAGGGAGGCCGCAGTGGGCAAGATGCGTCCGAGCCGTGGGTGCCCCTGGCAGCTTGGAACGTGTTGACTCCGTGCACCTCACTGTGCGCGACGCCCTTTAGCAAACAACTCTCTGGGCCAGAGGCAGAGGGGAGGCGCAAGGAGAGAAGGGCCTTGCTCCAGACAGAGAAAGAAAGGCACTGTGAGGTTCAAGTTAAAATGACAGAATCTCAGTTGAGCCAGCTGAGTGGCCACCAGGTGCTCCCTGCCCACCCCACCTGACCCCAGATGAAGGGCTTTTCATGCCTGATGTCATATCCTTGCTGACCCCCACCCCCACAGAACTACACCCCACCGTTTGCAGGTGAGGAAATTCAGGCTCAGGGAGGTGGAGAAACTTGCCCAAGGTCACACAGCTCGGCGAGTCCGGGCAGAGCAGGCAGAGCAGGCGCCATCAGCGCCCAGCCCACACCTCTGGGCTCTCCCAGGGAGCTCTAGGGTCTTCCTGCGCCCATGTCCGCATCTCTGTGCTGTGGACTCCCCCGTCCTCCGGCACCACAGAAGGCGGCTGGGCTCCCTCGCCCCTGGAACGGATCGCCCTGAGGGCCTGCAGGATTCGCCAGCTGCCCGCGGCGTGGCAGCTTCCCTGGGTCGGCCGCCTCCTTCCCTGTGCCTCTTTCCTTCCCTCCGCTCAGTCTCTGCCTCCCCTTAAGATCTTCCCACTCTCGAATTCCTACCCCAAAGTCTGCTTCTGGGGAGACCCAAGCTAAGACAATGAAAATTTACACCCAGTCTGTCTGGCTCCAAATCCTGTGATCCTGGAAACTGAGAAGTGGCTGTACCCAGAGGGAGAAGATGGAGGTGGGTGAGGAGCGCGGGAGGAGGGGTGGCTAGAGGGGAGGGGAGTCCGGTCTCCTCCCCTGTAGGAGGCACCTGACGAGAAGGTGATCTGCCCGACAAGCAAGAGGTGACACTTGAGTAGACACTGGACTCACACGCCATGGTTCCACGACTGGTGTCTGTGCTAGGGTGGAGGGCTTCCTGGAGGAGGGGGTCAAGAACCAGGTTATGGAGGCAGCTGGGGAGCACCCACCTCGGGGACAACAGAGGGGAACGGAAATCCGCCGGGGGCTCAGGAAGTGTAGAGTAGGGACAAAGGCTGAGAGCCCCTGGCGCACTGCGAGTGCCACCAGCTCCCCGCCTTGGGCCAAGCCTCCTCCGACCCCCTGCAGGGCAGACAGTACGCCCTGGGTGCAGAGAGGCTGGGAATTTGTTTGGGGGCAGCTGGGAAGCTGGAGGAGAGAAAGCCAAGTCCTTGAGGCCTGAGGCTGAAAGACAGGGAAGCCATTCTGGCCCTAACTGTAAACCCTGGAATTAAGAACAAGGAGACTCGGGGTCGGGGTGCTGCGGACGCCCTCGGCCCCCAGCCCAGTTCCCGCAGCCCCACCCCAACCTGGCCCCCGTTTCATCTCCTGAACATGAAGCAGGCATCAGCTGTGTTTGCTATGTCAACAGCCGGTGCAAAATGTCTTCTTGTATCCTTCGACAAATAGCCATTGAGCGTCCACTCCATGCTGGACGTACCACTGTGAGCAAGAGCAGATCAGGCCCTCAGCCTCATGGGGCTGGTGGTCTAGGGGGAGAGAGAACCAAGTGAGGCACGAACCCAGGAACAAACAAGACCCTCTCGGGTGCTAAGGAGGGAATGTGTGATGATAAAGAGGAAAGGGGAGGCTCCGTCAGGGCCGCCTCTCTGAGGGGCTGGGACCTAGAGGAGGAGAGGGGTCAGCGCAACAAACAGCCTTCAGGCAGAGGGGCCTGCAGGGCAAAGGCCGGAGCAGGAGCAGCCCGCCTGGAGCCGGCATGGGGTGGGGGGCGCAGGGAGGAGGAGCAGCCCTGGGAAGAGGAGGCTGGGCATCGGGGAGCTCGGGCATTTTGAGCAGGGAAGAGACTATCCGGATTGTTTGTCTGCGTTCGTATCTACATGGATGTCTCATGTCTGTATCTGCACTCTGTGCTTCATGTACTCACGGTCGTACACCTACTTTTGCCCACCTCTTCATAGTCACTGACACATTTACCCACCTCCATGTCCACAGTCACTGACACATTTACCCACCTCCATGTCCACGTCCATCCCGCCCTCCATCTGTAATGTGGGGGAGGCCTAGGGAGAAAGACAAGGCCGGCAGAGAAGCTTGCAAGGCATTGCCGAAGGAGATGGTGGCGGGAGAGAAAACAGACACGACAGTGGGCGGGCTCCAGAACGCTTTGCTGGAAGGACTGTCAGTGTCCTGGTCTGGGTTCCCCCAGAAGCACGTCCTGAGCTAAGGGTTCAGGCAGGAGCGCCAGGAGCCTACCCTGAGATCAGTAGCTTGTTTGGGTGACCTCAGAAAACCCAAGTAGGAGCAGACCAGGGGGACAAAGCCCAGGAAGGCAGGTGGTGGCGAAAGGCACATTGTCCGGCTGGTCAGCACCAGTCCTGAGAGGGACTCAGGCAGTTAGTGCTGAGCACGCACGACTGAGTCACACCCAGACATGGCAGGGCTGTGCCCGGTCAGTGTGAGGCTGCTGTGCGGGACGGGTGCATGAATTTCTGGCGGTGGGTGGGACGAGCCCAGGTGCAGTTGGAGGTCAGCAGCGTGTCCGCCTTGGGTGCTGTGGAGGGACAGGTTTGTGGGGCACAATGGCACATTGCGTGAGTCTGAGGGGTGGCAGGGAATGGAGAGGATTGAAACCAAGGGACTGCTGAGATCCTTCAGGGAGGGTGGGCAGGGTGCAGACTAGCAGGGGTGGCTGAGTTTCCCAGCGAGCAGAGGTGGCGCTGGGGGCTCAGTTAATAGAATGAGGGAGAAAGAAACCCCACCTGCTGTCAGACCTCAGGGAGGCGCTGCCCAAAAGAGGGCTGCAACGCCAGCGTGAGAGCTCTGGTCATGTTAATATCCCAAGGTAGCTGCGCCTGTGGCCGGTGAGAGTCATTCATTCATTCACTTATTCACCAGCCTTTACCAAAGATGCTTCCCTGGGGGGACCCCATGCTGGAGCATGGGGAGAAGCAGGCATGACCCAGGGCCTCGCAGCCGCCCAGCACCGCTATTTGGTGTGGCCAGAGCTACACAGGGGTCCGTGGAGGCACCTCGTAGGCTCCGGGTGAGGGTGGGGGTGCAGGCAGAGGAGGCGTGGGGATGGGTACATAGCCAGGGGTGATCCAACCTGGTAGAATTCTACACCTGTGCTGGTGACACATGTCCTTGGTAATAACCACTGAGAAGAATTAAGTCCCACCAGGTCTGATGATAATGTCTCAGCCTCGTGTGTCCTTCTGAGGACTTCACATCGATCCACTCCGTTCATCCTGAATGCAGCCCCATTTTACAGACAGGGAAAGTGAGGCCCGGGGAAGTTGCAGCTGTGACAGGAAATGGCAGGGCTGGGGTTTGCGCCCAGCCTGTGTGGCTCCAGAGGCCAAACCCTGGGCACACCCCCCCTGCCGGGCCTGGGCAGCTTCGAGGACACAGGGCCCAGCCCCCGTGGCCTTGACCCTCACAGAGCTCCCAGCTGGATGAGCAGCGTGATGGGACTGTCCAGGGAGACGGCGCCGTCTCCAGAATGCAGTCTCTTAGCTGCGAGTGAATTTTTGTCCAAAAAAATATTTTGGAAATGCCTGGGCCAGTTTTGCAATGTTTCTGTACCAAGAAGCTGCTCCACTTTGTGGTGGGCTGGCTCTCGGGCACAAGGAGCCTGTGTTATTAAACACTTCCTGGCGCACTTCTTCACTAAGCACTTCCCAGCCCTCTCCTGGGATGGCTGGCACAGCCCTGGGGAGGAAGGCGGACTGTTCTTGTGCAAACGGGAAATCTGAGGAGCTGAAAGGCAGACTGGCTTTGTTGAGAACTTCTGTCCCTGGAGCTAGGACTCACCAGCCTTCGTGCAGACCAGTCCTCCCCTGTCCCCCTGCCCGAGGCTGTTCCTGCACTGGCCCTGGACCCTGGGCCTCCTCTCCTCTCACTGTCCACCCCCGCCTGCTGCTCCAGCCACACGGTGTATGTTTCTTTCTCAAACATACAAAACATTGCCTCCACAGGGCCTTTGCCCTTGCCGTTCTCTCTGCTCTCGCTCTAAAACTCCCTGTAATGGCTGGCTTTGCCTCGTCTTTGTCTCGGCCAAAAGGCCGCTTCCTCAGAGAAGCTTCCCTGAGCGGCACCAGCTTCCTCAGCTGCCCTCCTGTCGCCTTCCTTTCTGTTTGCTGTGGTGTCCGTCCTGCCCCGAAACTGCCCTCTATATTTACATACTTGGTTTTTGTTTTGCTGTCTCTCCCCACCGGGCCCCATGAGAACAGACACCCTGTCTTGCTGTGTTCTCATCTGTATCCTGACAGCCTAGAGCAATGCATGGCACACAGTAGGTGCTCAATCACTGGCTCTAAACCTCCAATTTTCTCCACTCGTTCCCATCTGAGCAGCCACTTTTTCATAAACAGTGACACCAAGTTTCAGTTATCTTAACTGCTCCAAATTTGCTGTTTTTTTCTCGTGCTACTGTGATAGAGATTCTGCCTTTTTTTTTTTTTTTCCTGAGGAAAGAGTTTGCTTTTGCAAACTGCTCTGGGGCCCTGCCGTGCCACCAGCTAGCTCAGGAGCACATCAGATGTGGCATTTAAGGAGAGGGTGCTGCCTTATGGTCCAGGTGTCTGCATCTTCCCTTCAGGGGCAGCTGGGGTT